CTGTTCTTGGACCTTCAGTATTCAGTGTCCGTCGCTGGGATAAAGAATGGATTGAACTCTTCAGACCAGTAGTCGCGTATCTTAATGCGTGGGCAGATACAACATTTGACATCATGGAGGCCGGGTAGGTCAGGCATTATCACAACCGTACCAATTACAAACAAGTTAAGGTTAACGCAGACCTAGGGTTAAAGTTATGCTTACAGTCAGGCTTAGCGTTTTGGATTGCATTTAGTACTAGGACTGTGATACGTCAATGTGTATCCTACATAGAATTTCGCACAAGGCTGTCCTATTATTCTACGAGGAGGGATGTTTCCTATTGTCATGTCACACCATATTCGTAGCCTACTCCAGTACGCTTTGATAGACTTGCGGTTACTTCATCGTCTATGACATCCACGTGAGTCTTCTTCCTAATTCAACTAAGTCCCGCTGCTGGGAATGTGAATATCCACCTGTATACTCGCAAATGTAGTGCGAAGTTTGAGCTTAAAGTGGACTGGGTAACCTGGCGCTACAGTGTCATGCTTCAGCCTGCATAGGAGAGAAAATGAGGCAGTTGCAGCCAACAGTGCTGGACACCATGGCCTATAAAAAATGTCTCGACCTCTAGAAACCGTATTACCCTAGAAACAGCTATTTTGACTGCAGTCAGACCGTCTTCGTGACGGTGCTTTTAAGGTTCACAAGCCTTCTATTGCGGGTCTATTACACCTCGGGTCCACATAGGCCATATTTTTATGCGTACAAAACTACGGTTAAAGCCTCCTTTTACGCCTTCTAATTTAAAGTCAATGGGCCAGACACCAGAGGATTTGTGGTGGTGGCGTTTGGCCTCCCGGTTGTAAGTGAGTCAGGCGAACCCAATGTCTGTAAATGTAATCAGAAGACCAATTTCTCAATATTTTTTAAATTTTGGACTATTGAGAGCATGAGATCGAAATCGCGAGGCCAAATGCAGGCTAAACTACCAACTCCAAATTCGATCGTGCCTTTGCATGCGCTAGCTGGCCTACTGTACTCATTTTTACATTACTAACTACGCCTTTCTATAGCCCTTCACTTATCACCCGAACTTACATTTTTTACCTTTTCCAAACTTTTATTCCAGTTTGCCGGATCAGTTTCCTGTCTCCCATTAATTATTTGATCGGTTATCTACGGAGATTTGTTATCCTTTTCTCCCTGCCTTTTGTAGTTCGCGTTAACGTCTCTTCTGGCGATTTAGTATTTGCCGAATATCAGTCCCTGGATGACTTGCTGCAAGTCTATTCCAGCTTTAGGTGAGTCAATCAGTACGCATACCAGTACGCCCCACATTTTGGTTTACTCTGATGTAGGGAAGAGTGTTGATCACTTAACCACTAACAATGAAAAGCAGTTTTTTTTATTCATAGGATCCTCATTTTCGACAGTCTGTTCTTGCACCACCACTTCTCATTTGCCCCACACCCGTAACCTATCTTTTTCCATCGAAAACGCATTGATTTGAACCGTGATTTGTTTCCTAGGAGCATTGAAGCTGGGGATGGAGGAGGGGGGGGAGGTATTTGCGTCATTTCGGCTAGCAGGCTGGCTCACTTCAAGTTCTTGTCGGCTGAGGCGTAAAGATGAGTGAGATTGCCAACGGACTGTGATAGAGCCGATCAGATATATATCTCGGGCGTAAAAGGAGGTTGCACTCTCTGTCGGCAACAATTAAGAGGTATTTAGGCAGTGCCACGCGCT